GGGACTGCTGTTTTAAACTTAAACCTTGGAGTAGGAAAGGAGAATGTCATCTGCTAAAATATCACTGATGCACCTCTTAGAATGACACTAAATGCCCAATCATTTATTGCAAGCATTTGTTTATGCAATACAAAGTAAAACTAAGGGGGGAAAGGGGGTGGTTTTGTTTTGTTTTATTCATCTTTCTACTGATAGCACAGTCAACATTGGCCAGTTTTGGAGATTTTGCATATGCATTGATTATTGTATCCTAACCAAGCATCATTTCACAAAGTAGAAGATGTTATCTTTTAAGTTAAGTCTTAAGTCATGCATTTTGGTTCTTAGAGTTATTCTCTTATATGATTTCCATTTGTGTATGCCAAATGGTAAAAATCCATTAAAAGCTATAGATGTAAACATAAAAAAAACCTACCTTTACCTTTACAACAGGTTGCCGGTGATCTTGTGGATCTTATGATGGTTAAAGCAGCCTTTTTTTCAACTGTACGTTTTCTTTGCTTCAACACGTGCGCTCATTCATATCTAAGTGATAATCAAATATATACAAATGCACATAAGCTAGGAAGGATCCAGGCAGGCGTACAGGCCTGCTTGCGCTCAAACACACACAAATGCTATCCATTCCCATAAGAGACATTGACACACACCCAGCACCAGTCAATGGCCTGCTTACATAGATCAATAAGTTTTGCTTCAGGTTGTGGCTTACATGTTTGCCTCCCATACCACACAGAGCCACTAGAGCAGAGAGCTACCGCACTGGCTTACACAACGTTCTATAAAATTACACACAGCATGTGTGCATTTTTCCACCAGAAAAACCCCAATAAAATCTTTTAATTGTTTTTTTGTCTGTTTTTTTTTTTTTGGCAACAGGATACTTGAGAGCAACAGAAAACAGCTTTCCTTGTTGAAAAGAAGAGCTCTGTGTGGCACCCAGGTGAGTTTAGGCTGTACGCTTGACATCTGGTGCCAAATCTTTTACTTTGATGTTGGTGGTTCTGCCCTGCTGCTCCAGACGACTGTTTGACCAAATACAGCAGGTGATGTGTTCATTAGAAGTGGCTTGTGCAAGTCCAGTGCCCCACAGCTACATCTCATAACTTGAGCCATAAAACATTCATATATGTTTGCAATTGAGCTTAAGTAGAGTCTCTAGATATACTTTATTGATGTAGCTGGCAGCAGCAGTGTCTCAGTACTGAAAAATGAATGAGGCATTTGGAAAGACCTTCTGAATCAGCATTTCCCTGGTGAGCCTCGTCCTCCAGTCACAGTGAGGACGGGGAAAGCAAAGTAGCTGAGCAGCAGCAGTCTTCCTCTGTGTGTGTCTAAAATACATACACACAGCTTGAGTTCATCAAGGTCTTCCCAGCAGCTCGGAGGGCACCGAGTTGAATTTGGATGTGGTAGATCTTTGTTGTGTAAGCTGGCTAAATGCTGACAGGTTCTTCCCTGGTGGGCCAGCACAGAATGATGGATTTGCTGGAGGCACTTCCCCCTCAAAGGTGTTTGTGTAAAACACAGTGACTGAATGACAAAAGCACAAGCATGTACTTCCCAAGGCATGGCATAATGCTCTGATCAACAAGTGGATTACTGTAGGCCAGTTCAGGCTGCAGATACACACTGAACAGCAACATAATTAAAAGCACCATCAGGTGAAGCAAATAACATTGATGTAGTGTCCCAGTGTCTTCTCCCTGAATGATAAGCATATAGTGATAAACAAAATTTCATAAGAAAATGCTTTAATGAGTTTGGTCAAATTGTGTCCTTGACTGTTCAGTAGAAATGTATTATTATTTTACCATGCTCACTTGGATAGGCACATGTGAGGGGCAATGAAATGTATGGGAAGTAAAGGCGATTACATTTTTGGATTTCTTTAACCGCTGCATAAATATATTTCCTTTCTTGTGGAATTTCAGTGGAATACTGTGACGAGGTTGCAAGCAGGTAGTGCTTCATTTCACAAGGGAGAATGCCTGGAAACCACATTATATGATAAAGAGAAAATGGGCTTAGATTGCTTGGAGATCTAAAGCAGTTGCGGTCGACCTAGCTCTTGTGGACATACCATGACTGAGATGCCTGATAATCTGTACAGACATCAGCCTATATGTTTGTATGTAATTTGTAGAATGAGAGCAGATAGCAGCACAGAACCTTATGACTCAAGATAAGAGGCTGTAAGCTGGTGCAGAAATCTTTGCAGGAAGGAAAAAGTTAAGCAAGCAGTACTATGGATTTCTTAGGAAATAAGAGAAAGTCTAGTCCCACAGTTCATGTAATCTTATTGCCAAAAAAAGAAAAGAAAGAAAGAAATACTGTTGTCTTTGGAAATTTGTATGAACATATCTGGAGCTCAAATAGAGAATAAGACATCTGAGTGTGGAAAGATTACGAGTTTGTATAGTGTAATCAAAGCCTCCAAAGTAAAATGCAATGAGGTCACAAAAAACTCACTGTAACCTTTTGCAGCATTATTATTTGAGTCTACTGAGAATCTAAAAAAGAAACTTTCCTTAAATAGGGTGACCGGATACCAACAAACTGAATGTGGGCCACAGACTATTTATGTGGTGCAATATAGGACATGTTACTATTGCTGAGAGCTATTCTGAAAAATCTCCAATCTCTAACTTAAAAAAACCCAAAACAACAAAATTATACAAGTTAATGGTTTAACAAATGTACTGCATTTTATCTGACTGCAATTTTCCCAACTCTTTCACTAAGAAACCACAGGAAGTACCCAAGAAAGCCTAAAATTTGGATTAAAGGTCTTACGTACACATGCACAAGTATGTACATGTCTCTTTGTGCATTTGTGTATTCCTTGGTTCTAATTCAATAATTCAATAACTATTAGCTGTTATTTCAGCAACTGTTGTGCAATAATAGCCGTTGAGTTTCAGCAAGGATGCAACTCATAAATGTATTTTTGTAAGTTAGAGCTAATAAAAATGAGGGTCATTGTCTCAATGAGTGCAAAGGGACACAATGATTAAAGATGCTGTACACCTGCTGGCACCTGGCAGCCCTTCAGTATGTATTTTCACTCAGTATAACCCCTTTTTATAGGGATTCTTTATGGTTTGCCTCCAGTTGTGTGGTACCTCCTGAACAACACATGGTGGCAGCAATATTCCACTGACAGGATTTTTTCTGTCACTGCTAAGCTTAATGACAGCTATATTGAAGGTGGTATTGGTTTTAGGAGAGTCAAGTCTAACAATCAAATAATAACACATTCTGTTTCTTGGCTTCTTTCAGATACAGCGGATATGTTAACTTACATTCAAGAAGAACACTGACAACAGTTCTGACATCCCTTTGTGATAATAGTTGTACTGTTTAACATTAAAATGTTCAATATTAATAATTTACTACTGCTTGTTTTAGTGCAGGGTTGAAAATAATGAGCAATATTTTAAAATCCTTCAAAGGAATTAAGTTGAATTTAGAGAAGGCTCAAAAAGGGCCACATTATCATTTTTCCATCTTATAAAATAGGCTGATTCATACTTATACTTAGCAGAGACTAACAGAGTCTCTACTAATTTGCAGGCATCCATCCATCCATGTTATCTGTTCTCCCAGTACAGAATCACAGGGGTGCTAGAGCCTGCAGCTTGACAGGGCAGGAGGATAGGTTGCCAGCCTATGACAGGGCTAACACAGAGAGCACAATATTAAACTGAAATTCTTAATTCAGAGAACCTTACAGTCTCAGTTTTTTCCCTGTCAGATCCATAGCTTTTTAAAAACTATTTCACTTTCTGAGTAAATGAGAAATTTTGTTTCCAGATTCCAGAATCCTTTCTACATAATTTCAAAATACATGTGAACTGAATTATTACAATGCAAAATGCTAAAAGAGTTTGATGAGGCTCACAGGTTAAATGGAGTAAATGCTGGAGCTTCATACTGATTGAAGCTTGATGTTGTCCATGAGGGCAGCTCACTGGTGAAGCAATAAACACTGTAACTACACACAGCAAGGACCTGGTGAGTGGTTTATGAGACTCCAGTTCTCTTGTTGTGTCGTTTTCATGTCCATGTACAGAAGTGTGGCCACACTATATTTCCCCTCGGGGTTAGCAGCGTGACCATAAAATCTGTAGGCTTCTAATGTTCTTGGTGGAATCAATCTCTCCTCTCAGCATCAGCTTCAGTGGCTCTATGATGTTGTCACAGTAAAATCTGCTTGTTTTATTATTCGTTTAAAGTCCTTCTGTGGAATATATGGAAGGTAGGCCACAGCAAGGGGAACACTGTCATTTTCCCATCCTCTAAAAGTCACTGTTGATTATATGGGAACTTCACATAATTTCAATTAATACATGTTCTCTGAGTCACCAGTGACCTTATATCCAGTGGTTGTACTTGTAGAATGCAAACATTTTTTGAACACAGGCTTTCAGGGGAACAAACAAATGCAAAATCTTGCACAACTACATTATTAAAGAACAAGGACGCTGCAAAAAGATACAGGACCTGTGGCTGCTCAACTGAATGCAAAGTGGCTCTTACAATGTTTAAAAGGGGAAACATTAGTTAGACAGCTTTGGAGTTAAAAAATATATAAAAGAACTATACAAGATCAAAAGAACCCCAACAGCCTTCATCAGGAACTCAATGGGGATGTGGTGAACAACACTAGAGGCCAACTTCAAGCCAATTGATCTACCAAAGACACGTCCCCTCTGCTGTTCTGCATATTCTATTCTGTTCTGAACCAGCTCAGTGAGATCATTGACACGAGTGGTTAAGGATACAAACTATGGAATGGAGCAACTATCAGGCACCTACATGGATGACATCAAGCTGTTTGCCAGGAATGAACGACACACTGATTCATTCATCCACACCACTAGGATTTATAGCAGCAACACTGGAATGTCATTGGGGATCAAGAAGTGCAGTTGGATGGTAACAAAGAGAAGAAAGGTAGTCAGAACTGAGAGGATTGCACTATCAATAGGCAACATTGCAGACATTGAGGTCTGTGAAACTTACAGGCAAATGGGAACCATGAAGAAGCTGCTAGAAAAGCCGGAACCACCAAATACGTGCAGTGGGTCAGGCAAGTTCTGGAATGGAAAGAACAAGATTAAGGCATTAACACCTATGTCCTGCCGATAATCAGGTCCCCTTCTGGGATGATAAGCTGGCCAAAGGAGGAGATAGAAGCCAGTGACATCAAGTCAAGGAAGCTTCTGGCCATGGTTTCACCCCAAATCCAGCACCCTGAAATTGTATGAGGAGCGAAAGAAAGGGCATAGAGGACTAGTGCGTGTCAGAACCACTGTCCAACAAACATCCATGGGTACATCAGGAAGACGGCCACAACAGACCGTGTGCTTAGTGGATACCTCAAGCAGCAGAAACCCAAGAAAGAATAGGAGTAAGGAGAAGAACCATCGTGGAAGGACAGGACCCTGCACGGTATGTACCACGAGCAGAAGGAAGTGGCTGACATCCAGAAATCCTACCAGTCGCTAAACACAGCTGGACTGAAAGACAGCACAGAGGCGCTAATCATGGCAGCACAGGAACAAGCCCTAAGTAAGATCAGGCAAGACCAGGCAAGACCCAGGCAGGCTGTGTAAAAACACCCCTGAGACAATCCAGCACATAACAGCAGGGTGCAAGAAATAGCAGGCACGGCATACATGGAACGCCATAACCAAGTGGCCGGCATAGTATACAAGAACATCTGTGCCGAGTAGACCTGGAAGTCCCGAGGTAAAAATGGGAGACACCCCTTCTCAGTGGAATTACCATCCCCATCCTAAATGACCATAGCCCCCTTGTATACAGTCCCACAATGTTTCTGTTTCAATGTTTCTACAAATACACCATGTATATAGTTTACTCACATATACATATATACATTGCTTCTTCTTCTTTGTATATTGTTTTCTTTACTTTCGCACCTTTGTGGTCCTGTTATCCAATTTCGCTGTGCCAGAAACTGCACAATGACAATTAAAAAAAGTTTGAAGTCTAAGTTCTAAGTTCTAGCTAAGATAGCTGAGACCGAGCTAAGATCCTGTGGGAGTTCCAGATACAGACGGACAAAATGGTGATGGCTAACCAACCGGATATAGTAGTGGTGGACAAGCAGAAGAAGACAGCCGTAGTGATAAACGTAGCTATACCACCAGGAATCGCATTGATTTCAAAATCCTTCTGCTCACTTTTAAAAGTCTGAATAACCTGGCCCCTAGCTACCTAACTGATCTCCTTGATCTGTACAACCCAAAGAGAGACCTTAGATCCTCCAGCCAAGTTCTCGTTTAAAAACCAGAGGTTTTGCCATTGCTGTACATCGGAATCAATTCAATCGTTCAAATCACGCTTAAAAACACACCTGTTCACTTTCGATGCAAATTAGTTTGACTTTCATTCAGCCTGCACTACACCATGTAATGTAATTTTAACTATTTGTTCCTTGTTCTGCCCACATTGCGGTTTTATTGTGAAGGACTTTGATGTACACTAGTCTTTTAAATGTGCTATAGAAATACATTTTGAGTTGACTTGACGTGAGGAACATTAGGAAGAAGGAACACCAGGAGATGGAAAAGTACTAAGGGCTCACAGAAGAGCTCAAGAAGATGTGGAGGGTGGAGGTAACATAAATATATATATTTATTTGTATATTATTTATATAATTTTAATAACATATATATGTTATGTTTTTACAATTAGTGGTTAACACAGTATAGTTTATAATCATCAATAAATATTAATGTCAACTATTTAGCGGCTTACGTAGGCGGAAATGAATTGATTCCACATCCGGGTGAAACGCTGTTTACAATCAGGATGGTGGTTGGCTCATGCTAAGTGCCGAGGGAGAAAACAACGTTTATAATTATATATTATAGGTACTTTGCTCGAGAATCACCACCTATGGCAACTCAGATCCCTATAACCGTCAAGACTCCCCCGCCAGCCGCCAGCACCGCCGCTTTCCGTGGGAAGAAACGTCCCGGCAGTCCCGCGGTTTCAGCCGCTCAGCAGAGCACCGGGAACAGCAGCAAGAAGAAGAAAGGACAGCCAGTGGTTACTACAGCAACAACCCAGGCACAGGTAAAAGCTAACCGAGGCACAGTAAAACACCTCAGGTGTGTTTCAACGTCTTTTTGTCATTATCAAAAACTCGCACCAAGAGTTAGGTAATAATAAAAAATATGTCCATAAAAAACAAACAAACCAACAATCAGCATGATCAAACATAAAAGGCAGAAATACACCGACTCGGATTGCCAATTTTTAAATTGTGACTTCCGATTTTTCTTCTCAGAACTATAATTGACTGCACATGTGAACTAAAGTCTTCTTTTCTTCTAAATATTATTTTCACAATAAGAGAAGTGATTAAAGTTTAGAGTTACCCCAAACGGCAGCAAGCTACAGGATCTTCTCTCACTCACACAACGAAAAATAAAGTGCTTTGCTGCTGGAAACGGGTACAGATGATTAACAGGAAAATGAGCTGCTGCAGACCAAGCCTTACCTGACAGATTTTAGTTTACCAAAGAAAGCGGCTGCAACAGATTTATGTGACAAACCAGTGTTATGTACTTTCCTTATTTTCCAGCATGTTTACCAGGCAATAGGACATCATCCGTTTTCTCTTTCCTCTCTCTCATTTTTTTCCCTCATACTTGATTTGGTCTTTTGCACATACCAAGGCTCTGAGCTTTGACACCTGTTATTAGGTTTATTGTTATGAGGATTTTCATACTAGTCCCCCTGTGGTTCACTTTGGTGATCTTCATGGATCACAGTGAGGAGCTTCCACGCTAACGACATGTCAATGTGTGGCTGAGAGAGTTTGTGTGTGTGTGTCTGTGTGTGCACGCATGGCTCACAACTGGTCATGTGGGAGGCTGATCAGTCATCGAAAAGGGCCTTAACCACTGGAAATCGTCCAGTCCTGGGCCCTGGCCAATCAACTAGTGCATTTCTAGTAAATTTGATGTTTAACAACTCTCAGTGAATTAAAGTTTTTTAGATTTTCGGATTTATTCATTTGTTTTAGTTGTGTAAAAATGATTTTGAGACATTCCTGATATAATTCCCTCAAATGAGTTGATTTTTCACAAACAGAACAGATGCTGCTGAGTCCTTTTGTCAGTAGTATCTGTATTTCTTACTAATTCCCATCTGTCCAACCTCTAAGATATTGAACTATATGATAATTATTCACTTCTATGTATTGAACATTCTGTTTTCAATACATAGAAGTTATACTTAGACTTGACCTGACAAATGACCACACACACAAAAGGTGATGAAATGTGGAGAACAGCAGAAAAGCAATGCATAACATTCAGAAAGTACAAATAAGGATAATAGGACCAAACAGGATGATATATTATACTAGAAGAAAAATACACATTATACTTAATATATCTTTGAAGCATTGTTGAATAGTGCTTTGCTTTTTTTTTGTTTGTCATAGATTATGTTTGTATTTTCTATTTTTAAAAAACAAATTATCTTTTGCATTGTTACTCCTGCTCAGGTATGATTGTAAACTATTTTTCTTGTTGTAAGCGCCTGAGGTTTCAGTCTAAGCTGGGTATAGCCAACTTTTGCCATTTATGCATAACATGTTGAACATGTGAATTAAGTCAAACATGTTTGCTGTATATCTAACTGTTGTGTCTTATCAGATGACAACAGTAGAGACGGTGGCTGAGGTGAATGCCTTGGGATCGGCGGACAGCGGTCCAACCAGCACCATCACAGAGTCCACTGTAAAGCCTCCACCATTTAAAGACCACACATTCATGGTGGGTGCATATGTCTGCATGAATCTGAGTTCATCCTGTTCCTTTGTTTCTCCTTAAATTTTTATTCTCCTTCTTTTTTCCCTCCGCTTTTCTAATCTTGGCAGCATTCGGGAATTGGCGGAGCAGCAGCAGGCAAAAAGAACCGGACCTGGAAGAACCTCAAACAGATTCTGGCATTGGAGCGTACCTTACCCTGGAAGCTCAATGATCCCAACTGTGAGTTTCTTCTTTTAACTGGAGTCATTTTTGCATTTGTCAGCTATAAACAATTCCAGCTCCATTTCCATTTTATTAAATGGTGGTGAATTAATACCAAAACACATTTCTTTGTATTTAAAATGTGACTAACAAAGCTGACATTTTAAATAAAAAGAGAATGATTTGCCATTTTAAAGCAAAAGCACAAATTACCACTTAAAAAAAGACCCCCCC